TTTTTGGCTTACGCAAGCCTGCCTGAATTAGAAATTTTTTTGAGAGTATCTTGTCTTAGATGTGAAACAACACCCTGAACTGTCCTCGAGCGAAATCATACCATTTACTTTCGACCTTAGACGACAACTCCCCTGCGACAAACGGCGCCAAAATAATGGCGGTAAATGCATCTTCGAAACCATGTTCTGCGCGCTAGAGACACGCGCCCGAACCTTGAACACGCAAAAGAACTGCCAAGAAAATGCTTACTTTCGCTCTAAATGACCTTCTCTTTCTTAAACTTTATGTTTAAAGAGGTTTTTATCACAAAGAGCATATTTCTGGAAGAATCAGTCGTGGACATATCTCACTACCTATCTCCCGCGAGATTGAGGGAACTGCGATGGAATTCGTTTGGTTGTCCCGCGCGAATGCCCCTCGTCACATGAAGTTATTTCCCCTCTGATAGTTTTACTTACTTCCACTGAATGCTATTCTTCGATTTCTTTTCTATCAGTCCAATTCCTTCAAGTACATTAGTAATGTCGTAAATCCGTCGTTTCTGGCGCACAGCAAGCGTATCGGCTGCCTGAAATCGACAAAGGTAAACATTTCAGATGGTGAACGCTAAACAGGGCCACAAAGGAAGTTTCGGCGAACCAAAAATGTCGTCCTTCGCGGACCAAAAACCTAGATTTTTTCGTATACTTACCACTTTAAGATCTAAGACACCATCTTTGGCTTCTTGTAACAAACTGACGAATTTAGTCGTCAATAAACCGAGGGATTTTTCATGTCTACTTGGCGTTCCCGGAGAACCGAAATCCGCCATGATAGCCGAGCTGCATGCTGCAAAAATTCCGTGCATTGATATGATTGGCTAACAGTGAAATTTAAATAGTGCGCCCGTTGGAGTTACTTTTATGCGGTGTCTCGAGTGGGGGAGGGCTGTTTAATTTATTTTTGAATATCACAATTTTCGGTGGTCTTAAAATATTAAAAAATATTGAAGTGATTTCGTGTAAATAAGAAACTATTATGTGTTTATAGAGGGCTTAATATAATTTATTCTCTAAATGAAAGAACATTCTCTATCAAATAAAATTGTAATTTCCATCCTACCCCGGAAAGAATATTCAGCGTGTCTTCGTTACCAGGGTCCCAAGTGGTTCAGTTTTCCCGCGCGCGGGTTTTTCTGGGGGTCAAGGATAATTTTTCCCCGTGCCATTACCAATATTGAACAACTCTTCTGTCAAATTCTCGTTGAAAATACGATTTATATAACCTTTAACGAGCTCATTGTGGGATTTCAAGGTACGTTTCAGCTCTGAATAGGATTAAAGCAAATCTTAACGACCTATTCTACTCTTTTGTTGTGGGAGAAAAAAACTAATTTGAAGACGGCAGGAGGGGCTTTAGCTGTAACAGAGAGATTCCCGGCGAAATTGAAACTTGATAAAAACACCGCTGTTAATAAGGGAAATTACAAAATAGGGGAATTAATACATGATTTAATAAAAAAAATAACAAATGGGAAGGTAGGAACTTGACAGACAAAGGAGAAACAAGAAATTATATCACTAAACCTTAATTGAGAGATTTACAACAAGGGAGGGTCTGAATGGGGTCAACTGACTAAGCGCCAAATGGCAAAAAAATCAACAATAATTGACATGGTACAACATCACCAATCTTTGTATTCAGAGAGAACAACATTCTAGCCTGGGACAAAGCCACTTTAAATTAAGATTCAAATGGAAGGTTCTTGTTTTAAGCATGACAAATTTAATGTTACATTGAAGGTATTTGAAATAATTGTAAAAAGAAATCAGTAATCGGGTGATATTTGTGTTCTTTATATCTCCCTTTGTGGGATTATTGCAGAATTAAAATTTACAAATTCTCACTTGAAAGTGATACTTGATACAAGATTAGCTCTCTGTCATGAACATATAGTACAGCTATTCTACACCAAATGTCAAAACGAAAATGTATTCCCTTTTGTTTTGTTTTTTTATGTGTGTGTGTCCTGAAAGGGGGTTAAAAACTATTATCAGAGACAACTTACCTGCAGGTGCTCTATGCACTATAATAAATTGAGACATTTTCTTTTGAGGGAAATTTTAATCCTTCACACCCTTATATCAGTATGCATATTCTCCATACTGTTCACCATACATTTCTGAAGATGCTGACATGGAGAATTTGTTTAACATTCAAGAGCTTCTTAGTTTGTGATCATTTCTTTGATTATTGTGACCTTATTTAATGTTTGATTTAGGAGTGATGTTGTAAGATGGGATTAGATGCTGGTCACTCATAGGTATCAAAGGAATAAGGTGTTATTCTGGTTTTAAGAGGTTGAAGTGACTAGGATTATTGCTGGTTGCCCCTGGGGAAGATGTCATGTCACTGCATTGCAAGTAAATCTTAACATTATTACTTTAGGTTCCCCTGGCAGATTTCCATTATGCAGTAAGTTATACTCCTGCATGGAGAGAGAGGGAGGTTGGAGTAAATTGCCAGATACTCAAGAACACCACATAGTGCAGAGACCCAGGCAGGGCTCAAACCTGGAGGTTATTGGAAAACTGTTAGGAACACCTGCTGAGGAAAATGTGACAAAATGCTAGGTTTTTACTCCAGTTGACAGGTATTCCTTCAATGAGGGGTAATCTAAGTCTCCTCTGGGTTGGAAACTGAGATAAGAAACTGAGACACTCTGTGGCAGTCATGGGCCAGATGGCTTAACCCTTTAACTCCCACAAGTGACCAAGACAGAATTTCTCCTTACAATATCAGTACAATATCAAGCAGACAAGTGATGAGAATAAAGAAAGTCTTAAAAAGGGGGATTATAGTTGATCCAATACCAAATTCTCCAAACTAACATCACAAGAACTATATGGCAGACAGTAAGGAGAACTACTAATGAGATCTTGGGAGTTAAAGGTAACTTGTGGAGTTATTCATGGCACTCAGTTTTTGGGGATGAGTAAATTAACAAATAGATTCCAAGTTGCTGTGAGTCTGTTCAGTAATAGGTCACAGATGACATGAAAGTGTGGTAAGAACAAAAAAGTGGCACACGAGGCGCAGCCGAGTGTGTCACTGATGTTCTTACCACATTTTGATGTCCTCTGTGATCTATTACTGAACAGATGCACGGCAACTTGGAATCTCTTTGTTTTATATAATAAAGAATTAAAATATAAGGAAAAAAGTTTTAATGATGACATCATCTATACGTCTGTCCTCCAATAGATCATAAGTGAGAACCAATCAGAATGCATGCATAACTGAGCTTATTATATAAAAAGGAGGTAGAGAGGGAAAATTGTAAGAACTAAGAAGAGAAGAGACAATTCTTTCCTAAAACCTTGCTGAATTTTGCTGGCCCACTTTTTCACTCTTATCATCAGCTACTGACCTCAAATTTGAATGAAGGAGGTACTACACTACCTTTATATCTTAATAGTACACAATAATGAAATAAACCATAATTTTGCTTAACTGACAACTTCATATAGTAAATTGTTAGAACCTACAAATAAAATTTAAAGGTGTAATCTGATTTTCCAGGTGAGAGTATTCCTACAAAGGACTATCCTGTAGTAGTGACTGATACTTCCACAACCTTCGGCAAAGGCAAGTTGAGTTGACTTTGATAATGTGTTCTGCCATGGTGTTGCAATATCAGTCACTAATACCCACAACAGCTCTTCTCAGGACTACTCTATATCTCACCTAGATGATCAAACCTGTTCTTATCCAACAGGTGACATAAATGTAATAACATTGAAAAGCCAAAGAATCATGATTCCTGAGTAGTTGGTGTAACTCCTTTTCTATAGATGTAGGTTCCAGGGTTTGATGGGATCACTGGTGACATCATAACAATTTGTTCTCTAGGCTTTTCTCTGGCTGGAGGTCAACTGGAGATCCTTTCAAAGAGGATGGCTAACAGGCAATAGACTACATTTCTATCCTGAGGTGATTGTAAATACTGTAACTACCTATAGCTTTTTGTTACGGTCAATTGAAGTTGATCTGTGGCAGCCATGAGCTGTCAGACTTAAACAAACATATCATTGTTGCTGCCATTTTCTTAAGCTTACCAGCCAATCAATCTGTCAATCAATCTTAAGATAATGTGACCTCCTTCGACATAAAAATTTTGTCACTCCTATCAATGAGCAATGGTTGAACCTTCTAACTTCTAAGTGTGACTAGCATCCAATTTCTCTTTACAATATCACCCCTAAATCTTACAAAGACCTTGATTTTTAAACAGATTCTTCTTGTCAGCACCTTAAGAATTATATAAAAAATGAGATAGAGAATGTGCACACTGATGTCAGGGATGAAAAGGGTTAAGATACTGGGGATTTTAGGAATAAAGAGTACATTGGTAAGTGGAACACATCAGGGGAGAAGCTCTGGTTCTAATAGCATTGTGGAGAACTCGAAATCATTGGAAAAAATGAAAAAAACAGGGTAATAAATGTTACAGCAAAAAGTTCACAAAGTGCATAATGTCACACTTTAATTTATAATATTCGTTTACAAAGTGTTAATTGTCTGGAAAAAAGAATTCTCAAAATATTGCTTTGTGCTCTAGAAAACTTCAGAATTTTCTTTAAAATAATGAATTAGAAGTAACCTACATGATAATCACTAATAACATAAATTCTCGGAGTTGGAAAAAATGGTTACCTGCACTTACAGGTTACTAGTTCACCACAGAACATGAGGTTTGTTTCTATATTTAACCGTTTAACTCCCAGGATCTGATTGTTAATTTGCCCCTCTTGCTGTTACACATTTCCTTGTTAATTAGTTACAAGAATTTGGTGTTGGATCAAGACAACAACTTTGGCTTGATAAAGTTTGGGTATTCTCATTATCCGTTTGCTGGACAATGTATTGATGTTATAGGGAGAAGTTATATGTTAGTCACCTCTAGGAGTTAAAGGGTTCAGAGAATGAATGATGCAGTGTAGATGAACAAGGCAAAATGTACATCAATTGATAAGGTTTTAATTAAATACTTCAGCTTTTTTAAGGAGTTACATCCAGTTTGATTTGAATGATCATTCAGTTCATATCCTATAAGTATTAAGAGACTCATCATCTTCACTATGATAATTTGAAACATTAAAGTACCACATAAAACCACTACAACAAACAAAACCATCCTTATATGGAAACATCTGGAATATATATATAATATACACACACTATATATATATTTATGACCAGCATAATTTTCATATGCATGTATCTGGTATAAAATACATGTACACATGGCATACTGATTTTCCAAGTAAAAATCAGAGAGTTTCTTACTCTGCATTCTATTTACAGCATGTGTACATGAAATAAATACATCTCTATAACTCAAATACTTATTTTACATCTCCAGCTTTGACATTATATTAAATTTGAGGTAATTCTGATTTCACAATTTCCAGAAATCTTGAAATCTTCTACATTTTATTTGGTCATAGTTACATACTTAGTGATATTTATAGTGTGTCCTTACACCAGGATATACAAAATTCACATTTACAATAGATCAATATATAAAAGTAAAAATATGTATAAAGTTTCTGATAAGAAAATATATCTTATTACTTTCAAAGTCAATAAATGTGTCCAGGTCTTAATTACCCAAGGAAGACTAAAATTAATTTTGGCTGCAATACTGGGATTATCACTGAGCTGTGAACTTGGTCTTGGAATACAGTACTGGGACCTACACTACTTCATTTGACAACTTCCATAAATTATTTGGATGACTTTTTAAAAGTTAAAAATGATTTCCATAGATGAGGCAATTTCTAGTCTTTTTACCTAAAATAATAATAATAATAATAATACCCCATCAAGCTTTACTAGAAACTGTAATCTATCAATTGTTATTAACTCTTTAGGGAAAGTTTGGGAATGGCTTGTAACAACTGATGACAGACCAGAGAATATGGGGCAGATCATTGAAAGAAAGTGAATTGGTGACAGTACAAAGATTTTTTCCATCATGCAGCTTGGTAATTTCAGTAACTATACTTGTATATATTATATTCTTCAGAGACCTGGACACAAGACACAACCTTCATAAAATTTTTCATATACATTTAAATGCAATTATAAAATTTTATCAATCACTATTTTAAGTGATTTATTATTTTGTTTCATCTATGGGTTAACGGAAGACTGAGGTACATGTAACATGATGCAAACACACAAAGTGGAATGGAAACGTTGATACCCTTAAAAAAAATCCACTTGTCCTGGGATCTTAAATAAGGTATGCAATAGAAGCTTGGAAATGGAAAATAATGTTGCCATAGCCCAAATGTTAGAATTTTGCTTGGTGATGACTGAAGACGATATCATGATAATTGAGGGCAATCTTGAAATAAGACTAAATTAACTGTAAACAATTTCCATGAATGGAGCAACTTGCACTTCACAAGTGCAAAATACTATGTTTCTTATAAAATTCATTGAGTGAAATATTTTGAGTATAAAAATTTGTCTGAAAAAATATGTACAGTAATTAACTGCTATCATAGGTGCAAAATACTTTGTTTTTCCTTGATGGAGACAATGAGTGAAATTTGCTTAGAGATTCTCCTGCATAAGAAGTTCTACGTATGCTATCCTGGAACCAGTTTTGGGATGTCTCTTGAGCAGTTTGCTCTTCAAAGAAATTATCTCTCAATACTAAATGTGACAGCTGTGCTCCATTTCTCACAATGGGAATTGGCTTTGTCTGTATTTCCTCATTTGAATCATCTGCCATGCTTTGCACTTTCCAAGTTGAATCAATAGTTTGCCCATTGAAATCAGGACCTTGTCTCACGCCATGTTGCCAGTTGTTATCCCATTCTGTAGTTACTTTTAAAACTGCAACTTCACCTTCGTGCTCTGTATTAGTACTGTTAAAAAATTCTCTGTCATCCTCATTAATTACAGAATGCTTTGTTAGCTTAACATTTGAATCCCTCAAATCTTTCGATTTGGTTCCACTTTGTTTGATCTCTTCACTTTGTACAGTTGTCTCCTGTGGAACTGTGGAGCTATTTTTCCGTTTGGATCTACCTGACCGCAAAGATCTGGTAGAATTTTGAGATGCATTTGAATTTGCACTGCTCAATCGAGAGCCATTTTTCACCCAGTTCTGAGAAGCATTTGATTTAGCACTGTTAAGCCGAGAGCTACTTTTCAACCAATTTTGGCTGAAGGAACGATGAAGGTCTTTCAAATTTGAGGAAGCAACACTAAGTGCAATCCATGGATCTCTAAGAGCTTGGTCAGCAGTCATCCGTTTACAAGGATCTACTACCAGTAACTTGTCAATAAAGTTCTTTGCTTGTTCTGATACATCCTTCCATGCCTAAGATAGAAAAATAGCAAGTCATTTCATTGGCTGCAAATTGACCACTTCTTAGACTACCTACATTTACGATTATGAACACAACCTAAGGCCAGAACTCATCTCAGTTTATTGAAGGGCATTCTGTAGTATTGCTTGCACATCCTTATTGTGCATAATTTCACACATAACAAGTTTGTGCACTTTGAGAAATTGCAGTTTTTTCTCTTAGAGCAGAGCTCACCAGAGAGGTAAATTGTCATTTTGTCGCAAATGAACAGGGTAACCCTATCATTTTCCATTTTTTTGGAATCAAGCAATGACTTTCTCTCCAGAAAATAAATATAAACCAATTCTCAGTGTAGGAAATAGTCATTTCTTCAGAAATGCAAATTTAGCAAGTGTTCCAAAATATCATTGTCATAAAATGACAGGAATTGTGTGGATAATTTTCTTATTCAAAACAAAGCCTTGATCTCCTGCTTTTAAGAATACGGAGATTGTAGGTTAAGCTAACCAATATAACTGTGCTGATCAAACAGAACACATGAAATTGTTCATCTTCAGAACTAAACTTTGTTTGATTTCAGCTTGTACATCAGCATGTTGTCACCAATAAAGGGAATCTTTCATTTGCTAATTATTCAGCTTTTGTGCTTTAAACATGACAAAAATTTAAAACTCAGTGTTGGTGAAAGTGATGTTTATTAACCTCATCCCTTTGGGGTTGAGTAAATGACCACCTCTGTGTCAGCCAGTATCTTTTAACTGTTTAATGCTAGTCTTGCGCTATTTAGCTTCCAAAACAGATGTATTTCGAGTTCTTATGACCTCAGTTTGATATGTCTAAAAGCCATTCTCATCCTTAACGCTTTATCTCCCTGAAGTGATCAACATGAAACTTCTTCCCATAATCATTACATTATCTAGCAAACAGGTAGTGAGAATATTCAAACTAATCAGGTAGTAGTTGACACCTTGATCTAACAACAAGTTCTCATGACTAATTTATGAGGAGGGGTGTAGCAGGTAGAGGATTAGAATTAACAATGAGATCCTGGGAGTTAAGGGGTTAAGTAAACTAATGTAATTGCTTGAACTGTCTTAACTCTCAGACATTCCATGCTCAGGTAAAAGCAAAAGTGACATTCTTGAGATTTAGCAGGTAATGTTACTAGAAAGTAGGTTCACAAGACTCTACCTCCCTCCCTTTTTTTTTTTCTCTTTTTTTACACAGAGGGGCAACCCTATTTCATGTCTACTCATTTGTCTGGGAAATTGTATTGAACTTTATGTTCAGAACTAATCTTGTTGAAAAATTGTTACAGAACAGTTTCCATAGTTTGTAATTTTTATACCTAGAAAAATAGGATCATTTTTTTTTTAAATCAAATGTGGTAAAACACCCCAAAGGTTAATGTAAATACACACAGGAATGTCAATGTCCAAAACCACTTTCAATCATATACCTTACTCCAAGATATTACCCTGTTGAGAACTGTATTAAGTAGACAATTGTGGGACTTGCTAGTGTCTGCTCAATGCAGGTTCCAACTGTTGTTCCATGATCACTTGGTAACTTATCCATTATAGCATTACACATACATTTTGAATACTTCATTAAATAACTTGTTTGGTGCCCACTTTCTTCTTTGTGTACAATCTGATTTTATGGATTGCTATCATGAATTTGATGCAAACATGGTTGGAGAAGAGTAAGTAAGTTTGTGTTTCCCTTATCTAAGTTTTTGGTTTTGCACGCCTTGTTGACACAACAGGCTCCAGTGCACTGTAAACAATTTAAGTAATGTGACATGAACATAAACTGAAACTGCAATTGCAACAAAGATAAAATCTTTAGCCCTACCTATTGCAGTGTCTGCTTAACACAGGTGGCAGGAAGAGGGATCAATTTTAGTGTGCACTTTTTCTCATAGCTAGTTTATTTACAGAAAATATGGCAGAGGACAAAGGCAGGACTGGCTGGTGTCTGCTTAGTACAAATTTTATTATATTTGGTTAAAAAAAAGAGAATACTTATTAGGTCGTAAAAGCTGTTAATTTGCCAATGTGAATGGAGGATTTATTACTAAATTTCTGACAAATCTTCATGTATGTATCATTTGTAGATAAGGGGGGGGGGGAACTGACCTCACAACTTGTAAATGAGTAAAATATTTGATGACAAGATTAGTCAAGCTGTAAACATAGAAAATATACTTGTGGCTAGAAAACATTGCAATTAAAACTAAATGAGTGTTAGAGTTGAAGGAGCTGGGTGACATGCAAAAACAAAAAAACAAAAAATTACCAGTGTAAGACATCAAAACTGTTGGTAAAGGATGCAGTAATAACCATCTATTTTTTATTAATATGTCTGTGAATAGCATTGCCATCAGAATGGTGGAACTTGAGTAAATTTTGTTTGAACAGCTTTAAGTTCCATTGCCTAGCCCTTTCACAGTTTGGTTGAGAATGATAAGAATGTTGCTGTGAGGCAAATAGATTTCCAAGCTGGAACACTCACCAAACAAGATAAGAGTTATGTTTCTGGAAAATTTGCCATCACACTTTCTTGATTTACAATGTCGCTATATCATCTTTGACCCAGGAAGCATTAGCCCTAACATTTGAGTTTGTAAAATCTCCTTGTGCACTGCCTCTAGACAACAGTCTTTGAGGAAAAAAATACTATCAACCTGTTCACACATGTATATCATTCTTTGAACTGTAGCAGTTTCATTTTGGAGAAAACTTTGCATGATCTGAACAAAATTTACCTGTATGTAATGCTAAAATTGGATTATTCAATAAGATGCAGTGCTTAATACCACTATATGGTGACAAAGACCATGAATAAGATTTCCAGGCTTAATGCCTATGTATATTTATTCTTTTAGAGGTGTGTTCAAAAATTTCAGCCCCTTACTGTTTTTACCAAGTTAAAAATGATAATCATGTGAACTGGATAAACATTTCAGAGAGCATTGGTCTCATGGCCTCAATCTATCATTGGCATGAAGACACCTCATGTCTATAACCTCCTGATCATGGGCAGATACAACATATTTCAAATTTTTATTTAGCAACATACCTCAAGGGACTTAAGGTTTTTCCATATACTGGGTGTGTTACAACTGTATAAATTTTATTGCCGGTAATGATTCCTTCCATACGACAAATATATAAGTTTCATGATTCTTTAAGTTCCTTTCTTAATGCAATTTTCCTAATCTTATTTAGAATTCAAAAATAAACATCACAAAGCAGAGGTTTTCAGTCTTGCAACTCAAAATTAGACCAAAATCATACTTCATTTAATTCTGACGACAATTTTAGAGCAGTTTGTGCTCAAATATCTTCTAACATGTATTATCTAAAAATTAAGACTTGAAACACAATACTGTTCTAACATTCAGTAACATCCACCCACTTCAAAATGTAAAGAAAATTCTTTACAATACTTACAATATTTTATTGTGGTTTTGGTTTGCCCTTGTGGCTTGCATTACTACTCACTACAGGTTGGTTTGCATTTATTCATTAAAAACTTTATAATATATCACAGACATTGTGATCAGTTCTTAAGGGGTTAGGAAATCTACTGTGCTTAGCTTACTGATTTGTACTTTGACCACACAGCCACTCTCACGTGTCATTCAATTATGAAACAGTCCTTATTTCCTTTCTTTCTTAAACACAGTTTAGATATTTGATTGGTGTGGTTGTGTCAAAATAATATAACTGCTACCTGTTCAATTGACCTTACCAATGAAACACTCTTTAAGAATCTTAGTGGAAAACACTGAAAAGCCCCTCTGCTGTGCTATACATTTTCAGATCAATTTCTCCTAAAACCATACTCATTCATATTAGACCAATAGTAAAAGGCAAAGAACATGTGACAGGTGATACATGGATAATTACTCTGTATTTTTACACAGCCATGCACTCTATTGTAAGAAACTCTTAACAATAAATTGATCTCAAAGGAAATATTAACTAGCAGTTTTCTTTGTCGCAAACTTGAAGATGAAATGTTAACATGTTAAATGTTAATTCTTTGATGACTAGTTTTCCATTGTCTCCCAACAGCAAGCACTAGCTAACTAACAAAAATGCAAAATGAGAAGCATCTGCAGTCCTTAAGGATTGATCACGACAAATAGAGAAAAAAGGAGCATTTCTAAAAGCTGATCATATCCTAGATGCTCAAAGATCATTCAAGCAAGATATATGTCAAGGATATAGGTGATAGTTTTGGCTTACAACCAATCCTCAATTTCTTGGCTACACTCCCACCAAATTCAATATCAGTTGAATCTCCGATGATGCCTTCTGGAAATTTCCCTTATATGCGCAGAATCTGGAATGGTTGGGGAACTTAGCCCTCTTTTGTTATCATCATTTTAGTTAAATGTTTGTTTGACAAGTTGCGCACTGCTGAGTTTGGATGCTTATCACAGTTTCTCATGAAATGCCCAAGAGTGCATTACCCTGAGTTTCCAATGTTATGTATTTTCATATGAATAGATTGCATTGCGCCTTTCTTAAGTCGCATGTTTAGTTACGAAGTTGAATATAGTGATCATGAATATTTAGAGAAAGGATATGCTCCCTAAATACTTTCATATCTTTGTTTACACACCTGCAGATTCTTTTGCAGATTTGATGGCTGAAATACTTGGCATCCTTTGAGTTCAACCCATGATAAAAGGTAGTTCAAAGAGGTAACAAGTCAAATTTACTTTAGAATAGAAGGGCAATATTTTTTCAGAGAGTTTGGATGTTGTTTGACCTTGTAATAAGCTTCTCAAAAAAAACGTCTCTGAATTATAAGGAAATGATGAGTCCACAGGCATGCTTTGTAAGGGGTGCATCTTTATGAAGAATCACAGAAACTAACCTTAGTATTCTTGGAATTAAGGCACTGGATTTTTAGGAATTTATTTGAGTGGGTCCTTGTTGAAGACTCAGATCTCACATGTTTTTACTTAAGAATTGGTTTCCATTGGGAAAATAATTATGAATATATGTTTAGCGAGTCCACTTAATTTAATTTGTGTGTTAAGTGTCCAGATACTTTATTGATATACATCCACTGAATGCCTATTAGTGAGTTAAACAATATTTGTTGCTAAATATAGGTCTTGTTATTGGGCCAATTACCTGGTTTCAGACGTGTTCGCAACACATTAGTAGGACGAATGTGAATTAAAATCCACTGTTGGATGATTCTGAGGTGGGAGGTTTAATTTGAATAATGTAATCTAATTTTTCCTGAACAAATGTATACTAACAAAATGCTATCTCCCATCTATCATTTTGAAAGATTTCGTACCTGAAGTTATTGATCCTAATACGATTTAGATATAACAAAAGGACTTTACACTACACGTTGCCTAATACCGGGAAATCCCTTAAATTTGGTTATATTATGAAGCACATTACATGACATAACTTTTAGCTTGGAAACCTTGCACAAATGGTCTAAATGTTACGATAAATAACAACAAAATGGTCTCGAATAGCTGAAATGTAAACAGTGTTCCGTATTCGAGCGAATGTTTCTGACGATAGCACTAGACCGCAAACAAGCGTAAGGTTCGCCGCAAAATGACCGGAATGTTTAGGGATCATGAAGGCCACCCCAAACGCCCTATTCAGCGACCTGCACGGAAAAGAGAAAGGCAGATTCGCAACAGGTGAACAATGCCTTAACTATGGAGCTGCGGTTGCTTTACGATTGAAGGCTGGCAGCGAAACCAAATAACTTACATAATCACAGGAAATACAGTATAACGTTCTGTTTCACGTTTCGATGTCAGGAACATTTCCGAGAGTTTAAATCAAGCACGAGTGCCGGCATCTCTTATTACCAAGTTGCTCGTAACATTATTATAACTACAGGAAATCATCTCTGTTGCCCTCGATCGAGCCTCTAAAGAAACAGTTATTACATTCAACAAAGAAACCGAACGTTCCAGACTCAAGAAACAATTGTTCTTCGCACCAAGCGCACAGACAATAGATCTCTTTTCCACTTGATTTCAAACACAAAATTGAACAAAATAAAGTTTAGAAGATAATTTGTTTTTTTTTCCTTTTCAATAAAACAATTATGCGCTGAAGGTGATTCTATTCAAAGAAAGCTAATTATAGAGGTCACTGTCCTACAGATCGCGGCAAGCGAATTTGCATTGTGTAAGAACAAAGAAGATAACTTGGTATAGCATTTGACGCACGAACGCGCTAAGTTTGTCCAGAATTACTTTATAATAAGAGCTTTTCAAAGAATAACTACGGTAACAATCGTCACAAGATGATTTCTGCTTACGCTAATACACGGATTACAATATCCGAACAAGAAAACCCTGTCAGAGGACAAAAGATCTTTGAAACCTTGCCAGAGAAAATCGATCGTAACTGATACCGCTACATCGAGTTACCGTTTTATTGTAGGGCAGGTTACAAACACGAATTTTCTCACAGTGTTATCCTTACTATTGTAAAGAGTTTCCGTAAAACCGAACAACTTAGTTACCGGCGAAAACGCTTAACCTGATTACCATAACACATCAGGAGAAATCGAGAGCGATCAACAAACCACTAAGATCAATCAACAAAGCGCTATCATGCATGTATGTACACAAGCCTACTCACCTCACTGATATACGAATACTTTGCCTTCAAAATTGCATGATACATCCTCGTACGATTCTCGTCTGAAAATGGCATTTCTCCGCTCAAAAGAATGTGCGTGATAACCCCGATAGCCCACATGTCGACTGCATTTGTATACGGTTGCCTCTTGAGTATTTCTGGTGCAATGTACTCCGGTGTTCCGCAAATTGTATCCATTGTCGCGCTGTCGGAGTTTTGAAAAGCGCTCGAAAATCCGAAGTCGGTAATCATGATTTTGGAATCGTTTCCAGGGTGATAGTACAATAAATTTTCCGGCTTCAAATCACGATGAGTTATTCCAAGAGAGTGTAAATAACTAACTCCCTCTAGTACCATAATAAGGACTCGAGTAGCATCGTGTTCGGTAAAAGATCCCCGACAAACGATGCGATCCAAGAGTTCACCGCCTGTTGCGAGCTCCATAACCAGATAGATCCTCTCTGGACACTCAAAAACTTCATACAGTTGAACAATGTAATCGTGCTTCACCTTTCTTAGAACAGCAACTTCGGACTCGAAGCTGTCTTTACCACCACGAACCTTTATCATTTTGATCGCGTAAGGTTGTTTTGTTTCCTTATGTTCAACACGGACGACTCTACTAAATGAACCTCTTCCTATGAGCGCTTTGATCTCATATTTCTCCGTGACAACAGCATCAAAGCTAAGCTTTCCTTCAAGGACACGTCCTCTCTTTGGCTTTTTCTCAGAGTTTTTCCCCTTTTCATTGTTGACTAATTCTTTGCACCCCACTTCACGTGATGCTTCGTTCAGCTTGCTCGTCTTGACACAGTCTTCATCATCGAGCTTCTTGCTGTGGTTGCAACCCATGATTAAACTGCAAAGTTCTTCGGTCTAATAACAGCGCACTTCTGCGACGCATCACACATAACACTGGTGAGAATAAACGCAATCAAGGATGAGGACGAACGACTACTCTTAAACCCACGGCACCTCACGGCAGGTCTCGCTCTGTTTATCCAGTGCAGTGTGGAAACATGTCATGCGTCACTGCATACCGATAGCTCCGCGAATCGCGCGCGTACAACGCGCGGGGCCAATCAGGAGGGAGCGTACCCGTAGAGAGGCCAATCATTTTACAGTACAGTATCTAAATTCGTTTAATATTTGTCAATCAAATCCAATCAATTCCCCCGGGAGTCCATGGAAACCAATCAGACTTTCAAAATCCTTATTCAAACACTGACCCCTAAAAACTGAACCAAGTTAAAGCTTGTCAAAACTGCCCTTACGCAGACCTCACACCAAGTTCAGACATAATTAACCGGGCATTTCAGCCGTCAATGAAGAGTCTTTAATCGATGCAGAACGAAGTTTAGTCCATGCTCGCTTCAGTTTCGATTCACGAGCACATCGATCTTGTTACTCGATCAGAAGTTGACACTAACCTGATCACTGTACTGCCGTCCCAGCCTTGAGGTCCTCGACGGCTGAGCTCCGCGTCTCTTGTTTTTACCGCGTTTTTCCACGTTTTTGTTGTCATCCGTCCGTCTGTTTGCATTTCGTTTTCTAACCGTGAGTATGTTACCCTGACAGATGTTTGTTTTGTCTCTTGTGCGAAGGTAACATCCGTATTCTATTTACAAATGCTCTGATTTCCTGATTAAAAATGTTTTAATAGACATGCTGTCGGCCTTCGTAGAACTTTGGAACTTACATGTTAACTGTCCTAGGAGTGCTGTGATGATTTAAACTTCCCTTTTACCCAATGCCCCACTTAACATATAATATTGCTTGCTAAAAATTCCAATCAATTCTTAGGCTAGGAAAACAAATTACTCTTTCTTGTAGAACAAATAATCGTGGAGTTAATTGCATATGTGATGTTATGGAAATTAAAGATTTTTATAGAAAGACATTTTGTGCGCTCGATGGATTTCTTTTTCCATGCAAGAATATTCAATATATTTGAAAGAGATTGAATTGAGCGACATTTTCAAATTCCTATTTTGAAACTACATATTGTGGCCCGTTCCTCGCTCAAATTCAACATCTATTTGCCTTAAGCTTAGTCAGAATAGTCTAGATAAAACCTGCATGGTAACATAGTAACTTGACCACATCTGTAAGTGAAGAAGTTTTCAAATGTTTCAGTGGGCCGCACAGCTTCTCTATGCAGGTTCTCTAGTACAGTCAACGTAACTTTCGTCTTAAAAATCAATTTTTCTTTTATCCGTCTTTAAAATGAAGTCCAAAGTTTCGAATTTATTTTAATGACGGATGAAAGAAATTGAGAAAAGTAAGATAAAATGGTGTTAGTTCTTCTTGCCAAGTTTTTTGGGAGGATGAAGTGCACTTCAGGAAAGGAGAAGTAGAAGAATTAAACGATGTATATTTAGGAGAATGTAACATTATAGCGGACATTTTGAGTACGCCGAGTTTCTCTTTTTAGTTCCACTCTCAGAATGAGAATAATGATTTGACTTTCAGTAACGAACAAGGGGAACTATCGAATGGCAGACTTTGAACCGTTATGCAACGTTAAGTTAACCTTATGTAACCGGTTATCAGGCACTCGTCGAGTGTTCTCGGAGGAGGTTCCGGACTGTAGATACAACAACTCAGTCTTATAATACTCAAAATGCACTGGGAATACTTCCTGTAAGTTTTCAAAATATTCAACCAAAAGTTGCATTTCACGTTTAGAAGTACGGCGTGTAATCAGCATGACTGCGGGCATTTGATTTGAGTAAAATCTATTATTTTTGACTGGCTCTTTTTGTTGCAGTTTTAGGGTAAAGAAATTTTTGAATCTTTCTAAGAGATCTAAGGATTCAAAAACTTTTTCTTGTTAGTTTTGAAGAGCGTTAGCAGCAGTTTTGGATCTGAACGATTGTGGTAATTCCTGATGCTCTGCTTTCCATGTCGTTCAGCCTGTGGAATGCTTCCGGTGGTTTTTCCAGCTTTTTCATACATATTTGGACCGCGACCCTAAGAATTTGAGACACTTGTTTGCTGTTCTTGGAAGGTAACCAGCTCCTGAGGGACTTAGTAAAGTCAGTTCCACCCTATAAACATCGGATCATTTTTCGCGCGAACCAGCTTCTCCACCTCTCCTCTGCAACGCGAATGAACGCGCAACTTCCACGCGACTGAACGATCCACGCGATCGCCTCAGTCTTTCGACCACGGTTTGCGTAAAACTGACCGGGGTGACGTTGGTGTTCTCTTAAAGATTTGACAGATTTGTTTTGAAAAATAAGCGAATACGCCGGATGGACTTGTCTTTAACATGCACTCGAACAGGAAACTTCTTGCAAGTAAAGTAATTTTTGAACTCTTCAGTGTACGAAGTACAAGCACCTACGCGTATGCATATTGTCGAACTGAGGTTCAAAGACCTAGAAGAATTCAACAATTATTATTTCAAACAGACAGCAGACTCTTAGTCCCATGTGAAACTCCATCTTTTGTGAGTTAGCTATCGAGGGGAAGATTCTTATTACTAATAACTTCTGAATATCCACCTGTATTTTCGTGTAAATGTAGTTTATCTGTTTATATGCGGTAACCCGCCTACAAGTTTTGTTTACATGCTTAGGATTTGATTCCACACGGAGCTTCCGCCAAAATAAAGTTGCCGGCTTGTTGTCGAGAACAGAAATACTTCAGTTTTGACGAGTAAGGTAAGTTTTGCTTTTCTTATGCAGAAGTGGAGCACAAGAGCATGGCGGAGTGAGTTCCCACACGAGGGGTCGCAGAACACAATCATTGAAAATATATTCGGTTAATTCACAATGAAGCCTCTCTCCCTCCCCGTATGCTATTTTTGTAAAACAAATTCCAAATGTCACCGGAACTTATTAATCTAAATACATAAAAGGTTAGATGTTATTCGGCTATCGTTTTCGTAGCTTGCATTCTCAGGCTTTCTGCACGAAATGACTTTCAACCCATTTTTTCCTTTAAAACTTCTTTTACCGCAGAAGGTGTATAAGGTTTATGTCTGCATTATTCAGCTTTACAGTTTTGTGTTCGAATTTAAGTGGTAATGCAATAGTCAGACATTCGTAGTTGGCAAGGATAGTAGGGAATTGTGGCCGAGAGGTCGCTAGGAGGTGGCCCCTGTTTTTAATCGGATACCAAGATGTGTTATCGCGCGTTATATGAACTGACGTGTCCGGTTGAGTACCGATCAAAACTAGCAGATATCCACATTCTTTTCGTATTGCTACTTTGAATTGTGGACGCGATCCAGGTACATATAAAAAAAGTTTTAAAACAAAATGACATTGACTCAAAAGTATGCGTAAATGGATCGTGATGTCAGTTTGCATAGAAGAATGAATGAAAGACAAAAAACCCGCACTGTTACCTGTTGGTTATCTAGCCGACGCTTGTTTTCTTAGCATGCATTTCTAACTCAAGTACTTCCGTAGCACAACATTAATGTCAATTGAAAATATTTTTCAACTCTTTTCCCAGGGAAATTTGGTTTATTTTCTTCCCCTGATGCTGCAACAATTTATCCATTTAAGGTCAACATGAACAGATGAATGTTTCACTGATATTTATTTTATAGCGAGGTCACTCTGATCAGCAATTCAGTATTGTTTCATTACAATATTCCTTTTTTTGCCATCGATCCTTCATCGGCTCCTAAGTTCTCACGGTATAGGCCCGTCCGTATTCTAAGAAGAGGCATTTATGTCTAATAAATAAATTTAAAAATGAAGGTTTCCGAACACAGTACAAAACTCATTTACCTTGAATAACGTTAGACACTGGTTTTGCGTGTATTGTATTTTTACTGAGGCATTTTCGGCGCGCAAATTTTTACGTTTTCCATTCAGTGAAACACGCCTTTTATGGTCGACTTGGAGGGATTCCACCTTTTGTAAAGAAAGTCGACTGCGCGATCGCTCGGAAACACACCTTTTAAGATCGACTTCGATGGATTGAATCATTGTAACTTTTGCCAAGAAAGTCAACGACGCAATCGGTCGATGTCAGCAAGTACCCTCTTCCGTGTACTATATTTCGCCTAAATTGGGTGATTTTCCCTAATGTCTGGCTCGCAGAAGGGGAGTTTCGTAGTGATAATTGTGAAAAAACATCGCGTAGGCTTATTTCATTGTGAGCACTTTACGCGCAGGTATTTCATGCACTCAGCAGCTGTCCATCTAGAACAATTTTTTTAACCTTTTTTTTTTCAATAATGAATCGAAGAGTTTACATGATAATGAAGCGCCAGTCTCGACTCTCCCTTTGTACTCAGTCATTGGTCTTTTAATTTCAGTGTGTGGTATAAGCCATGTATGGTTTACGAATCTGTCCCTGCTGGAAGCATTGGAAACTTCTTGTTACACAGTGTTTTCTTATTAGAAAGTTATGCTTTACCTTTTCCGTCGTAATTAAAAAATTGAAAAAAAGCAAAAAACAAAACAATGAAATCCATTTTTTTTTGTTTGCACTTTGCACTCTAGGTTGGCCCATAAGGTTGGTCCGGCATAAAAATGTAAGCTAAAGCAATAACCGAAATGTTATGGTATGGTTTGTTTTGTTTTGTTTTTTTCTTTTCTTTGTTTTTTTTTCTTTTTGTTTTTTCGGATTTAAGGCATGAACTCAAAGTTCACTCGTAGTATTTTAATCTGCAGTCTTGTTTCCCAATTGAATCCTATTTCACTCTTGAGAAACAACTTCATTGCCACAGAAAACCTCTCTTTTCAATTGTTTAGTCGACTTAAATAGAAAATTTACAACTCTTCATAGTCTGATAGAAGTTACGACGCCAGCTATTTTCAGTCTTTAATAATTGAATCTATGTTCTAAGTGGAAGGATCCGTTTGTGGCCCGACAGTTGTCGCCAGACGGGTAGGAAATATTGTTGGCAGATTTCTGCGTGGAAGGTCATTCTTGAATATGAAAGGTTGCCGAATTCGGCATCCGTTTCTAAAACCTGTCATTTGGACGTGCTTTGAACTGTTTTTGGCATTCAGTCAAGAAGATGTTGCTTGAATCCTTCTTTTTTTTTCCTCCTCAGTAAAAATAACTTGCCGCCTTGTTGTTCTCCCCAAAACGTGACAAAAATTATTTTTCTAAAGAAGGCATCAATCCTTGATTTTAATTTCGTTAGAATTACTATGTCGCTAAAAGGGATTTGACTGTATGGCTGTTTTTTCTTAAGTTTTTATCTGTTTCCTCGATCGATCTCATTGACGCCTTTCAATGGAGTGAAATCAGTGAAGGAGAAAATTGTAGGTGGCTTAGTTTTCTTGCTCGAGGCGTACACCGGTAAGGTCGGAAGTTTATAATTATTGTTATCATTCCGATGGAAAATGAAACGAAGGATTTTTAAAAGTGGTTTGGCACCGGAAATGGAAGGCGTGCGTCATGTTGTGGTGTTCTCAGGGGTGGGTTTGGCAACTATTATACCACTGCTTATGCAACAATAACTGTCGGCGTCAGCGATGCTTCGTGTTGTTTCAAATTGAAAAACTGTTTTTATCAAAAATTTATATTTTTGCGATTTGAGAGTTACCTACTCGATTTCTGTAGAGAATCGAAACTCTGATCTGAAGCATGCAATCGCCATTCGCGTTTTCCCGCTCGGTTGGGAACCTTTGTCCATTGTCTCATTCAATCTACTGTTTTTTTTTTAATTATGATAATAATATTATGAGTACTTAGATGGCACTTTTTCCAATAGAATTTCGCTTTCAAAATATTTGAAAAATGCTTTCTTGGCGTTAAAAAGGGTATTCATAAATTACTGCCCCGCACTGGAACGTTTAATGATCGTGATCCCGCTGTTACACACACTTTCGTAAAAGACTTCACCCCCGCTTCTTCAACATGGACACAGTGGAATAGAAATTCCAGAAGCTTGGGTGCTCACGATAAAAGGAGCTGTGAGAGAGCACATCTCGGATATGCGCGCAATCACAGCTGTGAAAACCAGCAAATCACACAGCCAAGAACGATAGGAGAAATAGCAATAGTGGTGGTTGCAGCCTTAGTGGAAGTAAGACTACTCTTGGTAGTAGCAGCAGTAGCGATAATTTTGATGATTTGCCACCAAAAGTTAATCTTGTTATGCGATGTTTCGTAAATTCAACAACTTATTCCGAACTCGTTCTAGAATGCAAAGTGATTAAAAAAAAGGAGTTTCACCAGTCCAAGAGCAGGGATCCACCTATGATTGGCCAGTTCCTGTTACCGTTATTTTCTGACGTATATGAAAAGCTAAGTTGTTTGCTGTTATAGTTCAAATATGGAACCCTACACTTTCATGCGATCTTACGTTTATATCTAAGATTATACCAAGGACGAAGACGGTCCCGTGAGCTAGTAACAATGATGAAAAGGAATTGAAAATTTTGTTATTTTTTTATACGTATGATAGTTGAAGTACTGTTCAGTTCTTTATAAAAGTCACGCCTAGTGGCGACTTACAAATGTGCAGGGGAAAATGCTTACAATTTGGTAAAACTTTCAAATGTGGTAATTTTAGATCTGCACTTAGATCAGCAGATACGTGTAAAAGTTTTGGAGCGAGTAATTTTTCATGCATGTGTACGTGGCTAGGAGTATAGAGGTTAAACGAGAAGTAGGAATACACCTCTTTACTGTGGTTAGTTGTTTCTTAAAACGGATGTTGAGGTATCCTTCTTACGACACGAAGGTTTCCCATATCTCCCACTTCTACTCGATTCATTCTGAACTTCGACTCGCTACGTACAAGAGTTCTTTCCCAAACCATGCACTGTCCCCCCTTACTCAGTAGTGCGCGGGATTTACAACTTTTTATGATTACATTCTAAAAACTGAAGAAAGCTTTATAACATCATAAATTTGTCAACTTTATTTACAAATTAGTCATTTCATTCGTAACAGTAATTAAGTGTAAAACGTCCTCCTTAGTAAAATATCTTAAGAGAAAGTTTGCGATTATCTATGAACGTGTGAACCGTGCAGAAATTACAGCTGAAGCATTTGGTCATAACCTTAACGCTCGAACTTTTTACATTCATATACATGCATGTAAGTCCATAATGAAATTACTGGTTTATCGTGCAATCTGATTGACTCATAGCAGTGCGATTTATTTACGAATCGCACTATTTCTTGTTCTAATTGCATCTTTTACTGAAACAATCAGATTTCGAAGCCTGTTACACTCATAGTCGATCAATTTGAGAAGTGTTGCTAGCACCTTTTGTCAATAAACGGATTTGATGATCGATTCCGAATAACGATGAAGGACAATTATAAAATGGATATATTAAAAAACAGTATAATTTCGTGTCATGTAATTTCGATTTGAAATCGTACTTGTACTTTCAGATAAAATTGCACGCCTCTCAGTTCGAGTTACCTTGTGACACAATAGAAAGTTACCATACTCGAATCATCATGGCGACAGTGTGTAAAGAGGAGTCGTTCCCTTTACATCCTACTATTAGTATACACATTCTCTACATTTCCTAGGTAGTAACATAGAAAATTTTTTTAACAATCAAGAGCTCCTTCAGATTTTATGACTTCCTTTATCCTTGTGACCTACATGTTTTATTCACTAGTAATAATATGAGAAGAAATTGGATGCTACTTACTCCTATGGATTGAAGAGCTCTGGAGAAGGACTAGTTGATGCCA